AGAAGATACACCCACATGAGAGTATGGGACCCGGGAGAGGAATCGACCGAGCAGGCGGTCCCGAACGACCTAAGAACCACCGAGGAGGACGCGTGGGACCAGTGGCGATCCCAGCTGATCAACGTGGGAGGCGAACATGGAGGCGCGGAGGCGTTCCTCCCAAACTGGGAGACATGGAGCAGTTGGCATGGCCTTCAGCTCACCTACAGGATGACCCATGTGCTCACGGGACACGCCGTGTTCGACGAGTACCTGCGGAAAATTGGATGGGAGACGACGGACATCTGTCACCACTGCGAGAAGGCAGGGACACAGCGCAGCACACGCTGGAGCTCTGTCCGGCGTGGGAGCTGCCCCGCTACACTCTGCGGCACGACCATTGGTCCCTTGGGGTGATATGAGTAACGATTTTCTGTCACGACGTCCACTGTTCGCTTTCACGTTGGAATCAATCTACTCCCTTACTCTTTTGATCTCTAGTATGCTTTCGTCCTTTAATTTCTCCAACATGGGGTCTCCCTTGCTCGAGAGTGTGATTCTCCTCATTATTCTCTCCATATTCAGTGTTAAAATTTCAAAATTCCTCATCAGGCCCTTCACATTTCGCAGTCTTGTTTTCGGCCCTCTTCCTTCGTCAGTGGAAGACCCGTTTTCCATCTCACGAGCGTCGTCTCTTCTGACTTCTATTATCTTCTTCCTCGTCGTGATCTTCTCCGCCTCTGTCTATCTCGGTCTCCTTCTCATTTTGTTGGTGTCCGGTGTTAGGTGAATGCTTTGGTCAGTCAACTCTGCTTGAGAGCAAGCTCCATTTCGCTATTCTGCCCCAACATTTCTTTACATATCGGTCTCCTATCAAGCCTTCAACCCTTGTTTTAAAGGGATGCGTCTCCTTATTACTCCCTTTCTTCAAGATCAGAATCAAAGTCTCCTTCAACCTCTTCTCAGTGTCACTCTCTTCCACTAAATGGTCCTCGGTCGTTTTTACGAACAAGAGGCGGCCCTGGGACCCTGGGACCGACCTTCCTCTTGTCGTTCTTCCCCCAGTCGTGTGATGACCGTCGGGGCGAGCCTGGGACGGCACACTCGCCGAACCGACGGGGCCTGAGGGCTTCGAAACACCCTGAGCCGTAACTTTATTTTTTCTGGTCGTTCTATCCATAATTGTTGATAAGTTAAGATAGTCCGTGGGCATAATCATTTTCGTTGCCAAGGTCGTTATAGTATCATTCCATTGAGTCTACCGATGTCGGCATTACAATCCTATCTTTTTACATTTGATTCTCTACGCTAACATTATCCTAAGTCCATTTGCTATATCACATAGTTGTTTCATCACCTGCCCTTATTGTAAGTTACATTCTAAAGACGACATTTCGTTATAAAGGCCTAACCCATGCAACTCGTGTCGGTGTTTAGTTCCCGTGTAACATATTTAACACTAGGTTTACAGAACCCGTCGATTTGACGAATTTCAAACTTCGAAATGAAATATCCCAAAAACAGCATATCCCAAATAGCATTAATTTTAACCATTTTGCATCGTAAACTAATCATTTCATCTAAAGAATTTATACACACAATTATTTTTTCCTATGCTTTCTAATTTTTGAAATCTGTATGTAGTATACCTATCTCTAGGAAACCCATCAAATTGACAGGCTACCTGATTTTATAAACAATCCGTTTTTTAAAGACAGTGTGCAAAAGTTTCAGTTATTGTAGACATTTCCAATGATTGTCTCCGCTTATTGTAAGTATTTACAATAGGATAATTGAATTTGGGTACATTATTTTCTTTTTTTGACTAGTCCCCCTTTTCCAGCAATCGTGAGTAAATCCAGGAAATATAATAAGATATTGAACAAAATTGTTGACATCAATGAAGATTGTTCTAAGGATACCTCCGAATAAGAATAGTATGAATGAAGCCAAAGCGAAGCTGACAGTAAAAGTTCTGAATACACTGAAAGTGGAGAGATAGAAGGATCTTCGGATAGCGAAGAAGAAAATTTCTTGAAAGTGTGTCGTAACAAGAACAGGATGCGTACTTTTTTCCAGTTCTGACTCCGAGGATGAGAGGACGAGCATTCCAAGAACGTCCCAAAATGTAATGGGTGAAATTGAAATTGCAATTGACGGACACAGTGGATAAAACTGAAAGACTAAAAACTGGATCTAGGGGTAGGACGCCTGTTCGCATGATATTCAAGGATATCGCAGGGCTTACTGGCTATGTTAAGAGAAATATTATGTCTGGTTGTGTAACTAGTGCTTTCGAATTGATAATTTCCAGACACATAATGGAACACATAAAAGATTGCACTGAAACGGAGGTGTATCGAGTTTTGAAAAAAGACTGGACAATCACAGTTGCTGAGTTTTCTAGGAATTCTATATGCCATATGGGCGTATATGAAGCGAGATCATTGAAAGCCTCCAGAAGATTACAAACAAATAAATTTGCGCTGATATCCGAAATATGGGACAGATTGATAGGTAATAACGTGGCTTGCTACAAGCCATATGAAAATATCTCAATAGATGAACAATTATTTCCAATGAAAGCCCGATGCAGGTTTACGCAATATATACCGAATAAGCCTCATAAATTTGGCATTAAGTTTTGGTTAGCAGTTGACGTACAAAAAAAAATATATTTTGAATGGTTTCAAGGGAAAAAAGGACAAGATGACTTTGTTTTCCTCAAATTTATACAAATCAGAAAACTTTACGCTTACTATGTATAAAAGTAAACCTAACGTAAAGGTCCTCCTTCTAAGTACCAAAGATACCGGTATACAAGTAGAAGACAATTATAAACGTGTTCAGGAAACCATTGCTTTTTATAATAAATCAAAGTTTGGTGTGGACGTCGTTGACTAGATGGCACGCAAATAGAGTATGAAAGCAGGGAGTTTCCGATGGCCCCTTCGAGTTTTTTTCAATATTTTAGATTTGGCAGCGATAAATGCGTGGATATTATGTAAAGAGTGCACCAGATCGAAAATATCCAGAAAGGAGTTCATATTTTGCTAAAGATCAGACGCTTCATTTCTGTCACCTTTAAAGTCAGAAGTGCGAAAAAGTTGTCAAGAAGCCTACTGCAAAGAAGAATACAAGCAATAATTGTTGTATATATTGCAAAAAAGGTCGTATACGAAAGATGCACAAACAAAATTCACTATATTTGTAAACAATGTGCTCAATAAATATGATTTCCCTATACCGTTAATATTATTGTTACCATTTCCGCGATAATTTAAAAAAAACTTTTTACTTATTAATAATTTATTTAAACGTCAAGCCTAATATTGTTCAATTCAGACTTAATTTGCATAAATCGATTTTTTTTTCTTTTTTTTTTAAGAAAATGCGTATTTTCATTTACCCGTCAATTTGACGAGTCCTCGTAGAGGTAGGTATACAAGGTGGTTGGTAACTGGTGGTACAAGCGGAAAGGGGGCGATTCTACGCGAAAAAAGAAGTCGAAAATATAGAATAAACTTTTTTTTATTTTTTGCGTAGAATCATCCCCTTTCCGCTTGTACCACTAGTTACCAACTACCCTATATAATATATAATAAATAAAAATTTTTTTTTTTAATTTTTCCATCGAGACAACGATCTACAGTGTGATCTGTTATAACGAGACGTGATAAAGTGCACGCGTACCGAGCGAAAATTCAAAGTCGATTTTTTCGAAAACAAAGCCTCAAACGAAAGATTTTTATTGCTATTTTATTGACCATCGCGGGGTTCCGCAAGGTTCGGTGTTGGGTCCATTGTTGTGGAACATCGCTTCGGAAGTCGATGCCTCCGAACTCGATAGTGACGTGCTACGCCGACGACACGTTGGTGCTGGTCTGGGGCACGGCATTGGCGTGCTACGCCAACGACACGTTGGTGCTGGTCTGGGGCGCGGCATGGGGTAGAACCGTCCGCCTGGCGGAGTTGGCGGTGGCCTGCGTGGTCGCCGAGATCAAGGAATTGGGACTGAGGGTGTCCGGAGAGACAAGGAATTGGGAGGGTGTCCCCAGAGAAGTCCGAGGCAATGTGGTTTTGCTGCAAGGCCGATCACGGGACACCTCCAGCGGGTTATCGCCTGAGGTTGGAGGGGGCTGAGATCAGGGTCGGAACCAGCACGAAGTATCTGGGCCTAACCCATCGGTGTCGGAACCAGCATGAAGTATCTGGACCTAACCCTCGACAGCCACTGGACCTTCAGCGCTCACTTCGAGCGCCTGGCGCCGTCTGTTGAGGCGACCTTAGGACGTTTGCTGCCTCGGCTGGGCGGGCCCGACGTCGGAGTGCGCCGGCTGTACGCCGGCATGGTGAGATCGAAGCTCCTCTACGGAGCTCCGATCTGGGCAGAGGACCAGATGACCAATCGTCGCAAGCTCTTAGCGATCAGGAGGTTGCACAGGACGGTGGCCATCTGGGTAGTGAGGGGCTTCCGCACCATTTCGGCGGCGGCAGCGGCAGTGCTCGCCGGGTTTCCTCCGTTCGAATTGCAGGCCCGAAGGTGTCGCGAGATTTACCTCCACACTCGGGGTGTGTCGGGCGGGGTGGGCCCGGCGGGCGCCGACGTCAGGGTTCGGGCTCGGCGGACTTT